GCAATCTTCTCTAAGAGGGATATAGTCAAAGACTTTAAAATGCTGCAGATGCTCACAGTTAAGAGCCTTGTTGAAGAAGTTTGAGTTCATCTTATGTAGAAATTTATCTACAGTATCAATCTTGAGGTCTCGATAGAGCGTATAATTCGAAACATAGTAATGGGCATTAGTGATAATACGCAGATACTTGTTTTGCAGTACTTGTATTTTTTTGATATCATTATCCGTGATGGCTGCTCACGCAGGGAACGCGTATGACATAATTGGGCGTATAATCGCCGTATACAGATGTCTTTTGCGAAGAAGATCCAACTTTGAATTTTTGCCTATTAACGGCGATAATCTGTTGATAACAGCATGCGCTTTATTGCGGACCTTTAAAACATGGTCGTTCCATCTAGAAGTGCTATTTAGGACAATACCAAGATAGGTAGCTTTCTTGACTATTGGGACTTCCACGTCGAAGATTTTAAGCTTGCTGTTGATGGGAGTTTTTAAGATCTTTTTACGAATAATAATCAGCTGGGACTTTTGCGCGTTTATAGCGATGCGCCACTTTTTGCACCACTCTTCAATTTCGGGTATAGCACGTTGCAGGTTTCTGATAGCATTATCTACATTCATAGACTTGTTCGCAAGCGCCGTATCATCGGCGTAGCAGCCTAAAAAGGAGTTAACATCTGTACAAATTCTAGGGAAGTCAGCTGTGTAAAATATATATATAATATGGGACCTAAAATCGATGCTTGTGCAACTCCAGCATCTAATCTTTTGTAGTCGGACTTGTCAGCACCAATGTTCACATAAAATTTCTATTTTTTATAAAAGAGTAAATGAGCAAAATTAAGTCACGATTGAAGTCTAAGGAGATGAGTTTACAAAAGAGCCCCTCATGGCAGACGAGGTCGAAAGCTTTGGCGACGTCCAGCATGAGTAAGGCCACGCTCTGATTGTTGTGGAGTGCTCCTCCAACGAATTCGGTAAGTCTAACCACTTGTTTTGTCGTACTAAGTTTTTTCCTGAACCCGAATTGTTCGGGAGGGATCTTGATAAGAAACGGCTCCATTCTCTTAAGTATGATGCGTTCAAAGATTTTTCCAAATCCTGGGAGAAGGCTAATGGGTCTAAACCCGTCCGGCCTGGTAATATCCTTTCCCGGTTTGGGGAGAAGAATCACTTTGGCAGTCTTCCACTTATTGGGAAAATAATTGTTCTCCATGCATGCGTTGAGTATGCTGGTAAATTTTGTGATTATTTGGAGAGGTAGATTTTTGATTGTAATGTTGCTTATTTCGTCGAAGCCTGGAGCTTTCCTATTTTTTAACTTGCGCATGATCTCAAGCACCTCTTTGGGACTCGCATATTCAGTCTTATTTCTCACCCCTGGGTCACTAACCCAGTCTTTAATGAAATATCTGGTGTCATAAGAGAACATAAGATTACACGGATCTAAATTGGGCGTGAACTGTTTCTCGAGGTGCGAAGCCATGACCTCTGCTTTGTCCTTATTTGTTAATGCGATAATATTGTTATCGTAGAGAGGTTTATTGCACGTTTGCTTGCGTTTAAGATTTTTAGCAAATGTCCAGAATGAGTTATTCCATTTTTCTGTTCTATAAGTACTTCACGTTTAATCTCTTTACTCAGCTTGTTCATGCTGCGTTTAATATTCGGATCCCATGAAATACGGTATCTCTTACGAAGTTCATTTCTTTCTTTTATTTTGTTCCTAATGCACAGAGTCAGTCTGTCAGCATTGTGATCCCAAGGGATTTTCTTTGTTGCTGCGTTAAAAGCACTGTTTGTAAGATTTCCGATTGCATAGTCGATATCGTGCGTGGTCTTTAAGCTTTTAAAGTCAGGAGGGTGTTGAAGGATGACGTCGCTAAAACATTCCAGTTTGCGCATTTTCTATATTTCGTGTCATTACATTTGTTAGTGCCTAGGGTGGCGATGACTGGCACATGATCGGATGTCAACTCGACTTTAACTTCAAGATGCATTGGTATAGAAGTTGCGGTGAGAAAGATATCAAGTATGTCCCCATACCTGTAATTAGCTGGGAGGTATGTATATTCATTTGGGACATAAAAATATATTGGGTTGTTATTTATATAATCCAGAAGTATTTCTCCATTGCGGTTTGTATTTCTACATCCCCATTCAATGTTCTTGGCGTTAAGATCGCCGGCTATGATTATGTGCTTATTGTTAGGGAGTAAATCATTAAGTACATTTTCGTCCAACTTGTTAGTAGGTGGGTTTTACAAAGCGATGAAATACACAATACCGTAGAGCGGTAGCCGAAAATAGACAGTGACGGACTCATGTCCATTACAGCGGTCTTCTTTGATTAAACACGATTGCAAGGAGTTTTTCACATATATGGCGACCCCCCCACCTCTGTGACTCAACCTGTCGCAGCGATAATGTTTATAGTTTGCGATATTGATATTTAAACAAGGGCTCACAAACGCTTCAGTAATTAAGGCAATATCTATATCGTAAATAAGTAGGAAATTTTGAAGTTCCTGAATTTTGTTATGCACTCCGCGTGCATTCCAAGTCGTGATCTGTATTGGTGCTCTGTTAATTGTTCTTGGACCCATTATCAATGTTTATTGTGGGAATTTCCTGATTGTTTTTATTGAGGTCCTTAACCTGTTGTATAAGCTGGAGAAATCCAGCACTTTTGATGGCTGTAACGAGCTCAGCCACATCTGAGAAAACGTTTTTCGCCTCGTTGATGGTATCGATATAAAGACCGGTAGAAAGCGCTTTAACATATGATTTTCCCTATACGATTCTGTTGGAAAATGTTTTAGTTTTATCCATATTTGGTTTAGGATATTTTTCACACCCCTTATAACTCGAAGTATGGTTTTGGCCGCAGTTTGCGCAACATAGTGGTTTATCTTTATTGTTTTTGTCTGGGCATTCTTTTTATAGTATGCTTTTGCCCACATCTAACGCATTTGGGTTCATAATTACACCCCGCCTGAGTGTGGTTAAATCCTTGACACCGATAGACAAGCCCCTAACATTGTATCGGGCCTTGTCTTCCTTTGTACTCGACTACTTTGATCGTGAGATCGCATAAGTATTTTTCGTGATAGATTTTTCTAGAAGCATCGTTTTTGAGGAGGGTGATAAGAAAAAGTGGAAGCATTGTTACTTCACCTCCTCGACGTCTAGACATATGCTTTATATCCTCTATGGTGCATCCTAGGTCCTGGAATGAGGTTCTGATTTCTTCAATTTCAGTGGTTAATAACAACCCATTTATGACACTTTGAGGCTTTTGTCTTGAGGTAAGATATACGAGTGATGTTCGACTTTGAGTTCTTTTAGGACCTTAACTATTCCTCTGTAACTGTCTGCATTAGCAGTCGTAACCTTAATACCTCCTTGTATTCTTTGACCAATGAAGTCGAACTTGTGTTGCCGAAATATGCCAGCTATCTTATTCCATGCATATTTTGATTCTGTTAGTATGATAGGTGGTAATTTATTTGACTTTGATTTATCTGCGTTATTATTTGATGTGTTAGTATCATCTGATTTATTTTCCTCTTGTGTAATTTGCTGTGAGTCAGCAGTACTGGTGTCCATATCCAGGTTGTGTGTGTTATCCAATTGCGAATCCCGAGTGTTATTGTCTGGGTTATTCACTTGAGTTTCAACGCAATTCTGATTACTATTTGTGATAATGACTGGCGAAATTATCTGAGTGTGAGTACTAAGCTTAACTTTCTTAATACCTACTGTAGTCTGTTATTTTTTGTCCTGACAGTTTTGTCCCCGTATCTGTGAGGTAATTAATCTTCCGAACTATTGTCTTTGTCTAGTGTTTTTTCATTCTCTTCGCTAGTAGTATTGTCATCATGCAAATTTATCGGGCTTCTAGCCCTTTTATTTTCTTCGAGACATTTGCTAGTAGAAGGAGTGCTAACCTGTTTTACATCCTGACTAACAGTTGTATTGTCCTTACTACTTTGGTCTCTAAACGCATTTACAATTTCTAGTGAACTTTGTAAGAATCCGAGGAATTTACTTTCAATATCAGATAGTTCACTTTTAGTTTCTCTGATTATTTCCAATTCGCGAATTTGTTTATTGTAAATATCAATGAGCTTCTCCATGTCTATGCATTTAAACAGAAAACAGTAAAATCCAGCAATCTAATGATGGAGTCCTACTCCCCGGAATGGAGCCCTGGCAAGATAGCCTTCTCCACAGACGGATGAGTAGGCGAAGAACACACGAGGCCCCTTCCAAACCCCTAATTCAATTGCCTGAAGCGAGAGCTTGGGGTAACTACGTGCGTTATCCAATCCAGTAAAACAAAGTCAGACGCGCAATTTAATTTAAAATTTATCTAGTTAAGTAATTTAAAACGAGCAGTTAAGTTTAAATAAGTGTAAAATGGCAGCAATAATCACTTACCAGCAATCAGGCAAAACGCGCGGTAATTTCTAACATAAATATTCATAATAATTCGAAAATAATAAAATAGTGAAAGCGTATTCGCATTTCGCAATTCAAATAATCTACAAAATAGCATTAAAAAATGCTGATGCAGTCGGATTTGTAAGTGCACGTGGTCGCTCAGGCAAACCACGCGAGACGGACGTACTTACTAACCTTATCTGAGTGGCAGGCACAATCTCCGACGGTGAACCTTCATCCGCCAAGCCCCGCTCTGAAATGAAAAAATATCGGCGATCAAGTATCACGCTACTAAATACGACATATCATCACGATATGTCCATCTTTGAGCATGCGCTAGCCACACAATTTCGCCAAGACCTCCGCGGGTTGCGTTTTCTAGGCGGTCTTTCTAGGAAGGAAGTAAAAATATGATCTCGACCGGTGTCCAGACTAGACAGGGCGAACTCAATCTAGATAGTAGAGAATCTAATAGTGTCTACCCGATTTACTCATAGGACCGTTAAAATATTTCAGTGTTTTATCGCAGACCGGTAAGGTCAGTAATTTGGATTATTGACATAATCTTTACGAAATAGTGGAACTTAAAATAATTAGAAGGACCGACGAATAGTGTTTGGGACCAGCACCGGCCGTTAAGAAACAGTGGTCATAATCATGTTACTTGGCCAATTTCTATATGACAACCGGAGAGGATTTTGGTTAATATTGAGACGCATGTGAAACAGGATGTGGCTTAATATCCTAGTATCCGGTGCATACGGGATTTGATTTAACCTAGGATGTAAATAATGAAAAATATTCTAAATCAGCAGTTGTTGATTTTCTGCAGTCTTATTTACTTTTGAATTGCATATTTGCTATCTAAGCTTCCGTTTAGAAGATACTAAGCAAGCAAAGTGCCAAAGAATGTCATTTCTCTCATTTTCAGATTTGACATGTAAACTTCGTCTGCTATAGAAATATTTATTATTTAGACAGTAAAGTAATAGTTATATGCTTGGCTTGGCTAAGTTATTTTTGTGCCCTGAGCGGAGGTAAGCGGCGGCGTCATTTTCGATTTATTCTTCTGCATTGTTTCAAAGAAGCAAATTGAGAAATTCCAGAAATCAACATAAACAGTAATTAATTTATAGCATTAACTTTATTAAAAGTAAAATAATTTTTAATAACTAGACATTGCATATAAGGCTGTACCAAATGCATTTATCACATTTTGAATTTGTTATTATTAAATTAATGAAACAAAGGGAGTAGTGCAACTGGTATATATAAAATATGGCTATTTTTTATTGAAACATAGTTTAACAATAAAACATTAAAATACTAAATAAACAGCAGTAAGAGGTGTAATATTAAAAATACCGAACTGTGTAATTATATATACAATTATGCTCCTAGAGATTTTTTAAAAAAACACATTTGTATAATTTTTTTAAGGATCAGCAATTTTTAAACTATATTGTTTTTACTGGCTAAGTTTTCAGAAGAATTTAAGAGATTGTTTAGGTTTTTAGTTTAATAACATTCTTTTTATACACAGCAACTGTTACAGCAGATATAAGTAAGATTCTTGTAAAGGAACCCTTAATTACACTCTGCAAATTATTTGCTTTTGTGCATTTTAGAACATGAGAAGTTCAGTCATTTTTAGATAGTAAATTTTCAGCAAATAAATCTCCACCTTTAATGCATGATTGATGTTTCTTTTGATTAATTTTAATGTATACAATGGTTCTTTAATTCATTTATGTTTGGCAAATTTTAAAAATTAAGTAAAAGTCATCCCGTTTGTCAAAATTTATTTATGTGGTAAAATTGCTTTTAATTGATGATTTTGAAATTATTAAAAGTATTGATTTCAAAGTTTCTCTGTTGATTGTTAATACTATCATTAATTTATGCTTAATAATAAGTAAATAATATTTTTTAAGGTTATTCTTTTAGTTTAAAAAAGCAGTCTGTGCTCTTACGCATTCACTAGTTAACTTTACCAGGACCAAACTGTTTGAGTTTAATTTGCGGAGCAATGTGGACTATTGCAGGTCATGATTTGGCTACCTAAACTGCCAGACAATAATCACCTGGAGCATGCATGAAATGTGGGATATGTAAGAGTGAGCCATTTGTATCCAATACTTAATACCTGCTACTAGTTAGTTCCTCCAAGTTATTACCATGTCAAGTTAGTGCAATTCAGAGAACTGAGGGAAGGCTCATTTGATAATGGTATCCCATAAGTTTTGATATGTTAGTATAAATATGTTACATTAGCACCAAGAAAGATATAGCATGAGTACAAAAACTTGTTGCATTTCCAACTACAAGTTGAGCAAAGGCACATAGAAAGGCCTTTAAGCTTTCTCATGTGTGTGCAGAAATGTTATTAGATCTATTTTTTTACATTTTGTATTGCTGATTATTTTCAGCTTATCGAAAATTTAAGAAATGTTCATATATACATGAAATTGCCTAGGATGTGTTTATAAATATGAACATAACTAACACTTACTCCTTATGACTGATAATAGGGGTACAGTGAAGAATAATGAAAAAGTGGCTTTGGTTACTTATTTCACTATATTCAAAAAATTCTTAGTTTTACGTTGCATTATATTGATCATCATTTAATGTAATATATGATTCTTTTGAAAGAAAGGGTACAGACACAAGTCATAACTACATTATAATTACCCAAAAGTTCTGCTAAGTATCCTCCAGTAATGATAACAGTATTTTGATATAGTTTGTTTTGAATACAGCAAAGCACAAGTTGGTAAAATTGCTGTATTAAAATCAGTGGAATTATCTTCTTAATGCATGTTTATCTTACCAATGTGTGCATGATTCTGTTTGTAGCCAACATCACATTTTGTTATATGTTTTATTTCATTGCTTTTTTTCAGTATGTGTATGTTGTTTATCTCTTAAGTCTAATAAGGTAATTTAAAAATTTAGCACCAGGTTAATTTTTTTGTCCTACATATAAATTATGCTGGTGTGTGATCATGATTAATTCTAATATATATTTATCTGTTTATTATAGTTTTTGCTAAACTTTATAACAAGAATCAACCTTCATATTCATTTTATTCTCAATTCTGTCATTCTTATTTATGTATTTTTAGAAAATGAAATAAGGTATTTTTCAAAATGCAGCGAAACCTCCCTAAGATGAACAGCCAGAATTCCAAGTGATTTTGCTCTGATGTGGGGGTACGCTGTGACATTTATTAATGTTATAGAAATATTGGTCAGAGGTATATACCATGATAGACTTTAGAGTAATTATGTTTTGTACAAGCATCCTGTTATATTTCGATATAATAAATAAACAGCAGTTTATTTGAAGAAACAATGACAGCTAAGTGTGTCATAAAAGGGATAATAAAACTCTGAAGATCCAGTAGCATTTTTAGGAGAACAAGTAGTGCATTACCTGCATGATGTTCCATGAATAATATTGAATAATACATTGTTATTTCCAATTAATTGATTAATATTTATTATTATTTTTTAATATAGAAAAGTTTAACTTGTTCTAAAATGAATGTTATTAAAAGTAAGTTTAGGCATGTTTGAAGCAGTAGATAAGGAATTTGGCTGATCTTTGGAATATGGTAACTGGTAGTTTGGCGACATTTTGGAGGCGATAAAGGTTACTACCTAGGACTTTGGTAATAATGTGAGAAGTACTCAGTTCCGATTACACATTATTTTGTGTGAGGGAAATGAGAGATCATGAGATATGTCATGTGACATTAATGGACGAATTACAGTTCTTTAATCGGAAAAGGGGGGGAATTTAGAAAACTGTAGTACTATATTATTTTGTATTAAGCTTCATTGTGTGTTGTGTGAAATAGTGGAAGTGTGCGTGCCACGAAATGAAGATTGCGTAATGAAGATTAGGTAAGTTAGTATTTTTTAATCATTTGAGGATATTATTTTTATGCATTGTTCTAAATGTAAGGAGTAAATAAATTAATATGATATTATTGGAAAATTGTTATTAGCAATGATTTAGTTTAAAGTAATTAGGATTGTAATCTAATTTTTATTAATTTAATGTATGTGCTTATTTATATTTTAAGTAGTGTTTTTTAATTTAATTATATTTTAATTTAATGATCGTGATTTTGTGAGTTATATGTTTGTAGTATTTTGGAATACATTTGAGTAGAATACGTTGAGTATTTTCATGCATTTTCGTGAAATTTTTCTAATTTATGAGAAAAAAGCAGTGTACATGGATATAGTGAAGAGTGTGCGCAGTGCCATTTTTGTGCAATTCTGGGATTTTTTTTAAGTAAAAATAAGTCGACGTGTACATGGTTTAGTGATATTTTAATTAAATGATAGTTATTTTGTGAATTTTATGTTTGTAGGAATTTGGTATACGTTTCAATTGAAGTATTTGGATTACGTGCATGGAAGTAATTTAAATATTTGACACTAAGTATTTGTAACCATTTGTTATGTTTGCGGTATGAATTCGTTGGTGACGTTTATAATATAATACATAATTTAGAGGTAAAAGTTTTTGGATATTTTATTTATTTTATACGTGGAAATGTTCATCCTTGGAAAGGGTATATACTTTTTCATGATCAGGTATTTTCAAATATGTGCTTTTTACCGAGTTTAAAGATTCACAGAATTTTTTTGCATTTTCGTGCAAATTTTTGTAATTTATGAGAAAATAGCAGTGTATATAGATAAAGTTAAGAGTGTGTGCAATGCCATTTTTGTGCAATTCTGGGATGTTTTTTTAAGTAAAAATAAGTAGACGTTTAAAGGGTTTATGTGTATGTGCTATTCTGAAAAACGCGCAAGGAGTTTGCGATTGTGCACTTTTTCCCAATTTTGCAGTTAATATTTGTCATGATTAAGCAGTTTTGTTACATAAAATTTCTAGCATAAGTGTAATTCGGCTAGTAGATTGTTGGAAAAAGTGTTCAGTAAATAAAAAGAAAAGAAACATATCTTTACTTCGTGAAGACAAAATGGCGGAAAAAAAAAATGGAGGGTTGCTGTAGCAGAGTTGGTCGCCAAATTTTCGCCACAAAATCGCCAAGTTACCATAATTCAAAGATGAACCAGGAATTTTGCTATCAGAAAGTGAATAACTTCAACACAAAGGTTTTTTAGAAAATTCTGTCATGTAATTGATGAAGATGATAGTAAAATGAATTTATAAATTGGAAGTAGTAATAATGTATATTATTAATGTTATTAGAATTTTAATTTTATAGTTATATACATTTTAAATATTATAAGATTTTCAGTGTTTACTTTGGAAGTATTAGCCAAATACATTTTAAATGTTGTAAGGACTGGTAGATATTTTTTCTTTTAACTTTTGGCTGTTTGGCTTATTTTTCTGCTTCTATTATCATATGTTAGAAAAAAATGACTATCACGGTAAAAAGAGTTTTTATTTAGGTCTATGATTTTGGAAAAATAATTTGCAATTTCATAGTCATTAATTTTAAAATGGTTACAGTAGCAAGTTTAATATCTGTATTTTGATAAAGGCAAAATTTGGTAACATGTGTAAGTATTAAACTTTTATGTGTAACAAATTTTGAATTTTTGTTTTAATTTTCTTGAAAATTAAATTTGGTATATTTTATTTTACAGGATCTGTAATTCATTCATACCAGATCATTTACAGGATCATACCAGATTAATTATTTATTGGAATTAAAATGTGGTTTGCTTTGACATTGGGTTATGTTGCTAAAGTGAGTATTTATAGAATTTTAAGTTATTTAAGTATTTTATGAAATATCATATAATTTTATATTATTATTGAATACTGAGACTAAACAACTTATTAAATTATTACCTAGAAAATTATTATCTAGGAGAAATAACTCTTAGCTTTTTATTACTTTATTATGGATAATACTTTGCTATATGTATTTTTGATTGCTAAGAATTTTTAATTACTAGAATAAAGATCTGGAAAATTTTGGAAGCTTATTCAGTAAATAGCGTTATTTCGAGAACAGGGTACCCCTTGTCAATATAAAAAAGATTTTTCTAAGCTAATACACCAAGGCCACAAACTGATTTAAAAAAGGTGGCTCATTGACAATTTCATGAAGGAGCAAGAGTTGAATACAATTTCAGCTGTAAGAGGTAGGAATTGAAAATGAAACAGATATAAATTAAAACTTGCATTTACGATCATCCATGGTTTCTAAATAATTTTAAGTAGACACTGAAAATTATATACTTCTTGCATCACATCAGTTCAGTGAAATATAAATCAAATAAATTTAAACTTGTTATTATAATGATTTCTTGTCATTCTAATAAACTAAGTATTCATTCTTTGAAGATATTTAACCTTCTAAAGTAATTATTCAATTATCTCTATTCCATTCAAGGACACATCTTAATTTTATGAATGACTAAAATCTAAAAATCAATTAACCTCTTGTATTGAGTTTCTAAATGCTAGTGCAACTAAATGTCATGATGATGTGGGCAGTTTTCACTTTTATTAAAAATTTAATCTGGATACTTTTCTAGATTTACTCTAAAAGATCAACTTTTTGGATTGAAATACTTAAAGATCTAACTAAAGATCTAAAAAAGATAAACTTTTTTTTTTTTTTTTTTTGTTGAGTAAAAATTCCTTGCAGCTTTCCTCAAGCTGCGAAGAATTTTTGCTTATGTGTGAAGACAACTTATCAGGTGGCTGCAGAATCTGAAATATTGCTCAATTATTTATTTATGATTCAATCTGAGTTTTTTTAATGCAGTGGTAGAAGGAATAGATTACTTTTGCTCACCAGAATACACATTTGCTTTATATGCCTGCAGACGTGTGACCTAAAGAAAAATCTCGCATTTAATTCTGGTACTTTATTTTTAAACTCTGCAAATTAATGAATGTGGAATTATGGAAAATTAATGGATATGTACAATTATGGAAACTATACATTTATGGAAAATATACTGTATTTGAGCAAATATGGAAGTTATGGAAGACATACTGTACTGAAAAAGTTTTGAATTCAGTTGTAAATGAGCCTGACTGAAAAGTTGCCATCGTGACTAACATCAGAATAAATAAGGGCTACCTGCATTTGGCCTTTTATTACCATTTTAGTGGTTTTAACTTTAACCTCTTAAGTTAAAACCATTAAATATTACCAGAATAGAATATAATTATATATTACCAGAATAGAGGTTATCCCCTATTCTGGAACTATACCTGGAAAACTGTGGAATTTTTTAATCATGAAATTTTTAGTTTTATTACATTAAGCCATTTGGATTGGGGGTTGAAATTAAGACGTATTTTACGTGTGAATTTAATTTTACAGGAATTACAATTTGAGCAGTTAGTTTCCAGAATCTTTTTGCACAGTAGTAACTTTTCTGGAATGTTGAAAAAATAATATATATGTGCCAATCCCAATATTTACATTATGTTAGTTTGGCAACAGTTGTGTTGTCATTTCGTCCCTATCTGGTGTGCATTGCTGTGGTTGCTTGTTTCCATGTATCCTAAATATTCTCAATGTATACTTAATTGTTCAGCCTGGACTATGTCATTTATGTACTCATGAATAATTTAAATTTTAACACATTATCAGCACAGAGCTCGAAAGGAAATGCCATTGCGATCCAGGATTGAAGATCACACCGAAGCCTAACTGCGTCGATCGCTGAAGCCTAACTACGTTGTGAACCTGAAGTGAGCCGGATAACTGACCTTTGACAAAGTAAATAAAAAAATTTTTTTCGTGAATTTAGCTTGATATACGAGGGGTGATCCAAAAAAAAAAAGTTTACAAGGCAAATGAAAAAGTATTTATTAACAACAGAAACAAGATACAAATGGGAATCAAGAGAAACATTTGGCCTTCTTTTCCACATAGTCGCCAAACCTGTTTAGGCATTTGTCAGCATGTTCGACCAACTTGTTTATCCCGTCTTGGTAGTAATCAGGGCCCTGCTCATTGAGCCATATCTCGCTAGCTGTTTTCACTGCATCGTCTGAGGTGAACCGTGTTCAGGATAAGTATCACTTCAACGCCGGAAAAATGAAATAGTCACTTGGAGCAAATCGGGGCTGTATGGGGTGATTCCAGACTTCCCACTTGAACCTTTGCAGCAATTCCTGAGTCTGGCAAGTTGTATGGGGCCTGGCATTTCATGCAGAAGAGTGACGCCTTTGCTCAGTAATCCAGGCCGTTTGCGTTGGATGGCTTTACGCAATTTTGTTAAGGTGGCACAATAACGATTGGCCTTAATGGTATGGCCCCGCTCCAAATACTTGATTAGGATAACACCAGTCGTATCCCAGAAAACGGTTGCCATCACTTTACCGGCAGAGGGTGTGACCTGAAACTTCTTCTTCGTCGGTGATCCAGCTTGTTTCCACTCCATCGTGGCTCTTTTGGATGTGGGGGTGAAGTGATGAAGCCATGTTTCATCACCGGTAATGATGCGATCAATGAAGTGTTGGCCGTCTGAATGGTATCGCTGAAGAAATGTGAGGCTGCATATCATTCGAGTGGCCTTATGCTCCACGGACAACGCACGTGGAACCCAGTGGGCACAAACTTTGGAATATCGCAACTCATCGGTTATGATACGCTGAACGTTACCATAACTCAGGTCCAACTCTGAGGCAATCTCACACATGGTTACTCGTCGATCTCTTTGGATGATCTTCAACACATGCCGTGTTGTTATCCGTCCTTGAAGAACTTGGACGGCCGCTTGCTTCCATATTGCGGTTTTCCACATGCTCCCTTCCTGCTTGATAAGAACGACGCCATTTCGCTACCTGTTGTCTACTCATTGCTTTGTCCCCGTATACCTCAACGATTTGTCTGTGAATTTCGGATGCGGCCACATTCTTGGCGCATAAGAATCAAATTAGAGCTCGCACCTCTATGCGAGACCACTTTTCTAGACATTGTGCCATTACTGTCGCTCTTAAGTGTCTGCGTACTGATGCTACTTACTCGTAGAACCACTGTAGGACAATTAGCGCCATCTGTCAACCACTCTGGGTGGAAATATTCGCTCCACAATTATTACGTTTCAAATGCTTCTGCTTGTAAACTTTTTTTTTGGATCAACCTACGTATTTACTTGAAGAATGATATCTGAAGATTATAAAATGTCAAAACTAAACAGCGACAATTATCACACATAGTGTATCTGTTCGCGTGCCGTGCTAGTGCAGAAAAGATGTTGGGAAGCAGTGGAACCTGGATATGGAATTGAAATGAATGAAGCGGAAGGAAAAAGAATGACAAAGCTCTTACCCTATTATTCCTCATAGTTGAAGATACATTTCTAGGTGTTATCGGAAATTATGTTAGAGCCAAAAACACCTGGAGCTGTTAACCCTCTCTCTGCGCATCCCGCGATTTCCATTGGCAATGTAAGAAGCAGCAAAATTTACGCAACCCGCGATTTATGTGGGGATCAATTTTTGCCATCTATTTAACTGTGCAACCTGCTCTTTCCCTGTTCAAGGTTTCCTTTCAGCTTTTATGTGATGTTTAAGTCCTTATTTAGATGTGGGTTAACAGATGGCATTAGTTGTCCACATTTCTGCCAAATATACAAGAAGCATTTTGCGCATTACAAGAAGCATTTAGCACACACAGTGTAGTATTTTGTTTTTCAGAGCTCAAAGGTGTCTGGCAGGATGTGTTTCACGAGTGATATAACCTATATTCCTGACGATAGTTCTGACACTGATAGTAGTTTTGACTCTGATTTCAAGTATATTGAAGATGGTTATAGCGAAACTGATGAGAATTTCTCGGATTCCTCTGTAGATAGTGATAAATCTGAAAATTCAGTTTCTATTGAAACCGTTCGACAGTGGTGCAAAATTGATATGCAAAATATTACATTATGCAAATATTTTCATTAGTATATATTTTTTACCTTTGTATTTAAAAAAATAAATCATAATTTAACCAATATTAATTTTCAAAATTTTCCTTTTATACCGTTATTCTTCAATTTTTGACAATTTCCTTTTATACCGTTATTCTTCAATTCTTCAATTCTGACAACCTTTTTCTATGATCTAATTCTATATTGAAAAAAAAAAAACTGTTTTACATAAAATTTTTGTATATTTTTAACTCTAAAATATATGTAGATTTGAAATATGTAATTAAAAATATTCAATTTTTGAACCTATTTTGATAAAAAAAAGTATGCAGTGAGAGGGTTAAAAGAAATGGATACAAAATTCGGTTTGCTTCACGTACTGCAACTTATGAGAGAATTCTTTAACATAAATATGAAGCCAAATGAGTCTGTCCAATCCTATCTAGCAAGATTAATGGACTTGCATAGAAAATTAGCTAATGGTGGATATGCCTTCACAGATAGAGAAGTGGCCCTACTGATGCTATTGGGACTGCCTAGAAGTTATGAATCGCTCATCCTAAGTTTGAGAAAAGATTAATCAAATCTGACAACTACGATTGTGAAACCAAGGCTACTCGTAGAAGAGAAACATATAGTTAGGAATGAAAGTTCAGCCAAAGTGTATCATGAAGAACAAGCTCTCCACACAAAAAGTTTTGCCACCAACCAGAAGAAGCCTGCATTTTTAAAACCCATGAAGAAGTATGCAGCTAAAAGGGGCCAAATGAAGAAGAAACTAACAGAATAAGAAATACTAAATACTTCAGCTGTGGCCAATGGGGGCACATCTCTAAAAATTGTGAAGAAGCCAAATATC